TGCAACAATCAAAAAAGTGTGTTCCCGTGGTAATTGGGCAGGAGGGGTAATTAAAACATTGCAAGCGACAGTGAACCACCGTTGTGGTGAAGTATGGTCAAACAATTCCCCGATCAATGACCGATGGAGAGATGGCGATCGATTGGAGGGGAAGGCTTTCATTCAAGTGGATTCATGATTGTGTGGACTATTGACAGGACAGTTGTAAATCCATTTCCAGCCTGCCGAATACCAAGTTATCCATTACAATTAGACTCCATTCGTTGTGGTACTATCTTGTTGGGGAAACGCTTCGTGTGTGTATGTTTAATGTGGATCGCCGTAGACAAGACAGCTTGTCTTGTCTACGGCTCAGAGGAAAGCGCTCCAGAGGGTCATCAACACAGCCCAAAAGATCGCCGGCTGCCATCTCCCCACACTGGAAGAACTACACAGTTCACGTTGCATCAAAAAAGCACAGAACATTATAAAGGACTCTTCTCACCCTGGACACTCACTGTTTGAGCTGTTGCCATCAGGCAGACGATTCAGATCAGTCAAAACAAGGACAAACAGATTCAAACAGAGCTTTTATCCTACAGCGATCACCACACTCAATAATGCTAATTAATTATTAAGTAATAGTGTTTACAATTGACTGTGAAATAGAGATGTGCAATGACAAAATGTAACCTTATGTGGGTATACTTGGGCTGTTTTTATATATAGTATAAATTGATTATCTTTCAATTAATTTTATTTTTATTTTCTTGTTTTATTTAATTTAAATTTATGAATGATGCCCTGACTGGTGAGCATTTTAAATTTCGTTGTACTGGTGACAATGACAATAAACGATCTATCTATCTAAACGCGACAACATGGAACTTTGTTTATGATTGTAGCTGCTCACTCCGAGCTACAAATGCCCTGCCAGTGCATTGTCTTTGTACTGGTCGCGTTTTAGAATTCTCTGGTGTGGCACTGCTGAGACGAGGGCTTAAGATAAGTTTGTCTGATGGAAGCCAAAACGTTTCAGAGACTAACAGATATTATCAGACCATGTCTGTTTGCATGTTCACAAGCACGTGTGTGGTTAATGCAGACATGATTCCTTGCAAAAGGTTTCTATTTGGTGGTGTTTGAACATCTGAACACCACTTGTGTTTTATTGCTAGAAAGGGTCAAGCCGCTTCGTATTGTTTCGTAAAAGCGACGGTCCATCTACGACAGCCTTTCCAGAAAGGCATGGCAAGAATGGAGAGGGGAGTGTGTTAAGCATAGGCCATCATGTAACGTACAATGCGGTGTGAAGTGCCACAATGATCCATTCCCTGCAGTATCTTTACGTTCAAGTTCAATTATTTTATATCTGTGAGCCATTCGGCTCTTGAATCGGGTGCAACCGCAACAAACAAACAACAAAAATATGAACAAGAAAACATCTTAAAGTGACTGTACAAACAGAAAATCCAAGAAAAGACAGCAAATTATTGCAGAAAAAGCACCGTACACCAACACTGTGCAAAAATCCCAGTGGGATGCAAGTCAAACAACAACCACAAGACAACTTAGAATATGAGATCTCTTTTACCAGTGGCAAAATATGGAAGTAGGTTTTTACCCTTTTAAACTGGTACTAAACTGACACCTTTATACAAGGCATCATGTTTGCAAACATGCCTTGTATAAAGGTGTGAGTTTGGTACCAATTTAAAAAGGGTAAAAACCTACTTCCAAGACAACTTAGATTAAGGCCATCAGTTTGTTTCTAAATGGGGGGCAGCCAAAGAGCCTCCACGCATCTCCGCAAGCCGCATGTTGTCGACCCCTGGGCTAGCTGGAGGATCTTTATACTTCTGTAAACTATTTAGTTTTTTTTAACCAGGTAAGGCCCACTTTTGAAAAATATTTGTATAGCCCAGTGGGTTATTTACTCGTATAAATAAACTTCTGATCACACGTATGGTTCTATTTTCAAATGATAGCCCGGCGAAGCGGTTTATCGCGTGGAAATATATAGCAGCCAAATATTCTAAATGTGGGAGGGGGAAACCCGAGGGCAACGACCACGGGGAGAGAGAGACACCACAAACTCCAAATATGCATAATAGGATTTACCCTTTCTGACAATAAAACACATGTTAAGATTTTGATTTAAAGCTTTCGTGACTGCAGGGATTCATATTCTTGGTTCTTTCGGTAAAGTCACGTAGAAGGGAAATAATAAATGAATAAAAATATAAAACGATAAAAATTCTCACGACCTTTCGACACGTCGTGATAATTTTTATTGATTTATATTTGTATTATTTTCTTATTTCCCTTCTACGTGACTTTACCGATGGAACCAAGAATATGTGTTAAGATGTTAAAACACCAAACTGAAACCTTTTGCAAGGAAGCATATCTACATTATACTGTTTTTTTTCAGTAAAGTCACGTAGGTTAAAAAGAAAACCAATTAAATCACGTTTCTGTATCACTTGATACATTAATTTTGCTGTGACGGTTCCACCTGAAGGCTTGTGTTGCCTCCGAAACGTGATTTAATTCATGTTTTCTTTTTAACCTACGTGACTTTACCAAAAAAAACAGAGTACTGGATCCTTGCAGTCACGAAAGCTTCAAATCTAGAATGTCTGCATTAACCACATATACTTGTGGTGGACATGCAAACAAAAAAAACGTGCTCTGATCTTAACACAACTGTTTTATTGCCAGAAAGGGTAAAAACCTTTTCTTATATTTTGATACTGGCAAGAGGTCCCATGATTTAGCTGCTCACAACCAAGCTCTCAATGTCCTCATAGTGGCATTGTCTTTGTGCTGTTTGCCTTTTGGCGACCTCTGGCCTAACACTTGAGACGACGCTGTGGACCAATCAGTTTCAAAGCCAATGCATCATAAACTTCCAGAGCATGTTGTTGCGTTTGCATGTTCACCACAAGTACGTGTGTTTAATGCAGACATGCTTCCTTGCAAAAGGTTTCAGTTTGGTGTTTTACCATCCTAACACCACTGGTGTTTTAGTGCCAGAGTGGGTAAAACCTATCATGTATATCTTCTTGATACTGACAAGGGATGTCCCATGATCCAAATATTCAACAGGTGTCAGGGTCGGGATATGACCCACGACCTCCTTGCACACCAGGCGAGGTAGTTAACATCTCGCCATAGGAGGTGGTGGTGGTGGGGGGCGATTCGCCGCGGTCCCTGACGATGCCGTGGGGCTTGCTGCGTAAGCTGGAGTGACGAACGCCATGGCGAGCGGCTCGGTGAGTCTCCACCTCCTCCTCCCACCTCCTCCTCCCCGCGGTGTTTGGCGACCCACAGCCGCCCTCAGCCGCGAACCTGAGCGGGTCGAGGGCGCTCGCTAAGAGCGACGGTCCGCGCACGGGAATAGTTCCCTTCCACTCCTCCTACTTCTTACCCCGCGCGACCTCCAAAGCGGAGTTAGAACTCCGGAGGAGTCAACTTCGAGCGTCGGGGCTCGCCAATTGTTTTTGTTTGAATGAAGTTTTTTTGAGTTCCCGAAACCCCTCCCCTTCTCCCTCCCCCCTCCCCTTCTTCCGCCCCCCTCCTCCCCCTCCCCTTCTTCACCCCTCCCCTCTCCTCCCCCTCGCCCTCCCCCTCCTCTCCCCCTCTTCCCCCTCCCTCCCCTTCCCCACCTGCCCTCAACCTCTTACCCCCTCCCTTCTTCCCCCCCTGCCCTCACCCCCAACCTCTTACCCCTCCTCCCCCTGCCCCCTCCCCTCACCCCCTACCCCAACCTCTTACCCTCCCTCCCCCCTTCCCCCCTCCCCCTCACCCCCTACCCCCAACCTCTTACCCCTCCCTCCCCCTTCCCCCCCTCCCCTCACCCCCTACTCCCAACCCTCTTACCCTTCCCCCTACCCCTCCCCTTCTCTCCCCCCCTCAACCTCTTACCCCTCCTTCTTCCACTTCCCCTCCCCCCCCGCTACTCCCCCCCCGCTACTCCCTCCCCTCTCCAGTCCCCTCCGCCCCTCCCCTACCCCCCCACACCCTCCCCTACCCCCCCCCACACCCTCCCCTACCCCCCCCCCACACCCTCCCCTACCCACCCCCCACACCCTCTCCCCTACCCCCCCACACCCTCCCCTACCCCCCCCCCACACCCTCCCCTACCCCCCCACACCCTCCCCTACCCCCCCCCACACCCTCCCCTACCCCTCCACACCCTCCCCTACCCCCCCACACCCTCCCCTACCCCCCACACCCTCCCCTACCCCCCCACACCCTCCCCTACCCCACACCCTCCCCTACCCCCCCACACCCTCCCCTACCCCCCCACACCCTCCCCTACCCCCCCACACCCTCCCCTACCCCCCCACACCCTCCCCTACCCCCCCACACCCTCCCCTACCCCCCCCACACCCTCCCCTACCCCCCCCACACCCTCCCCTACCCCCCCACACCCTCCCCTACCCCCCCACACCCTCCCCTACCCCCCCACACCCTCCCCTACCCCCCCACACCCTCCCCTATCCCCCCCACACCCTCCACTCGCCCCATTCATTGACACGAGACTTCTTGTTGTGATTCGCTGCTGCCACCGCTTGCCCCGAAAACTCGGACGGCGCGTCGCCGCCGCCACCGCCGTCGTGAGGTTCGTAGTTTTGTTGTTGTTGACAGCGCTTGGCTGTCTTAGTGTTCTTGCTGCTGCTGCTGCTGCTACTGGCCTTGACGATGATCCTCCGCTGCGTCGGTGGGTGAAGGTTGTCCTCCCCCCCCCCACACACACACCCCGAGGCTTGTCGTGTCCGAGTGGGTTTTTGGGCCCTCTTTGTTGCCGCTGCCGCCGCGTTGTGTTGACGAAACGCTCTGGAAGAGACGGCTAAAATGGCCGCAGGGCGCCCCCCCCCCCACTCCTCCTCTCTCGCTCGCCCTCCTCCTCCTGTCCGCTTCGTTCACTGTCCGCTCACTTGTTTACGCGTTAAGACAACAACAACAACAACACCGCCACCCGCGCGCGAGTGTCGTTTGGAGTTTGTCCTTAAAAGTTGAACTGAACGCGGCGCCACAACAAAGCGAGCGGAGGGGGTCAGTGTTGTCGATGTGTCGGAATTGTCCATCGCAGGCTAAGAGGAGGAGGGGTGCGTGCTAAGTTTGGGCAAAGGACATCATCATCAGCAGCAGCAGCATCATCAGCAGCATCGGCAAGCAGCACTTTGTGGGTTTTAAACTCGCAGCTGGTGACGAAGACGTGCGGTTAACTTGAAATGGACGACTGGCTCAGTAGCCACTGGGGACGTAGAATGGAAGTGTTGTGTTTTTATTTAAAAGTCGTATGTGAAGTCATCGTGAGTCGCTATGAGTGGGAGGTCATTCTATATCTTTATATATTTTTTGGTGGTCGATTGTCATTGTTGGGGACCATGTTGTTGGCTTTTTACAGAGACGCCAGTAAAATATATAATTGAATTTTTTTTTTAATTTTTTAAGCGACGATTTCCACGTTGATTTTGTATTCAAGCCGACGTGTATATCTGCAATGTTCGTTCATAAAACCCTGGTTTATAGCTCTCGATGGGTTACAGTACTTGTTTTTAGTTGTACTTATGAAAGAGATGGGCTTAGTTTGTAGTGGCAGTTTACCGTTAAACGTTTTTTATTAACTAACTGCTTGGGATATGCAAGACAAATTACATTATTTTGGTGCGTGTGGGATGTGTCGATAACCTGTTTGATTCATTGACATTTCGCGCAGCCTTTTTAAAACGAGGAGTTTTAACGCAGCGTTTTAATTTATACGCGTACCAGCCGAGGCTTGCGAGAATGTGTGGGTTTTAAAGCTGCTGCTTCTATCTTCTGATCGACCGACCATTGCCATGTTGCAATAATGGAGCTCACTAACGTAGTAATTACGTTTGCTAAATAATCCATACATTCCGTACAGTGTAGCTAGCCTAGTACTGCGTTAGAGTACAATTTGGCGCAATACTATAGAAGAATTGAAAATATTTAAGCAGTTGAGAGACTTGCTACCAAAACGTATATTTATTTTAAAAAGGGGGGCCTGCATCACAATGACAAATTGCAGGAATAAAATACATTTTCACAACAACGATACGTTAAAGTATTCCAAAAAAAGAATCGTCCGCATATCAAAACAATGAACGCGAACAAAAAGCAACACTAGAGTAACAATGAAATAAGTTTTAGAAATATCGATCGGCATCGATTGCAATGAAATCTTCCCAGCAACGTGTCCATTTTGTTTGGAGCGGAGCGATTTTGCAATCTTTATAATTTTCTACAGAACCATCCTGGGGTTTTGTTTTGTAACACAATACGTTGGGACACTTGAACAGACAGTTGAATGCCATTCGCGTGCTGCGTATAGATGTGTGTTTGCACGACACTAGACCTGTCGCAGGACTTACTGACATGTCACGTTTGGATAGTGGTCAGTCGGGCTGCCGTCGTGCGTTCGATAAGACTGACCACTGACTTTATGTTGAGCTTGACCTCAAGCAAACCATAAAATACTCTGCCGTCTGCCCCCCCGCCGCCCCTATATACACAGTCGCTGCGACTCAAACGCCCGGTGGCCGGGCGAGCCAGCAAGGCGAATCCTTCTGCCAACATGCTACAAGAAGTTCGAGTGGTCCCAGAGTCTGGAACAAAATCCAGAAGCAAATCGGTCTCGGACAGCTCGTACGAGATGTTGCGATGCGATGAGTGCCTTAGCCCATGCTCTCCCAACGTCGAGTGTCATCGGACGGAAGAGTTTGGAGTGGAATACGGTGAGTTTTGTTCAGGAGTCCCTTGCATTGCGAGTCAAAAAGCACATGGAAGTTGATGAGTTTATAATCAACTTTGAGCCACCCTTATTGTCAAAGGTTTTGTTTTAATAACACTTTTTATTATCTATGTCAACACAGTAATGGAAAGAATGAAACGAACAGAAGGCCAGTGGATCAATGCAAATGCACTTCTCGAAAACAAAGTCCAGTTTTTTCCCCAATGAAAGTGTGCTGAACACTCATCACAGTTGCTGTGACGTGCCTTGAGGCCATTTTAAGGGACACCCAACACAGCTGACTCGCTTAACATCCATTCTAGCCTCTCAAGTATTCTGACTACAACGCATGCACCAAATAGTGCACTTGGTTTTAAAACTTGACATTGCGCGTTAATTTCCAATTTGTTAATGCTTCGTCATCACCTATGGATTGTTGCAGACTAAGTCTGCTTATACATTAATACTAAATAAAAAGAGCGCGGTTCCTGATTTTGCTATCCACACCAGTTTGCTTTTAAGAATTGTATAAACTTAAGTCGGCCATGTGGCAGCCATATGCAGGGGATATTTGCACTGATCTCTAGGGTTCAAGTTCAGCAGGTCATCTGACAAACAGACCTGGGAAACCCAAACACTGCAAATATATTCAGAGAAAGCTTTTGCCATTAAGTTGTGGAATGCAGTAACAGCATATACAGAGGACACAATTACTTTTTATATTATGCGTATATTAAAAAAATCATTCTCTCACATTTTTGTCCTAACAACAGAACAAAAATGCAGGCTAAGAAAAATAAAAAGTAATTTTCTTTTCACGAAGTATGTATGTAGAACGTCTCTGGCGCCGTACGTGTTAAAAGCCAATGTTCAGTATTTTTTTTCATAGCCATCTCAAGTTACACAACACTGAGCACGTGTTGGAAAGTAGTCGAGTATACAGCAGTCGCCACAGAGACATGAAACGTGTTGAGTCGGCAGGACTGTTAGGGAGTCTCGGGCAAGTGTGTTGGCTCACAGCCAGACATGCAAGGTCATGGTATCATGGTATCATGGACTGGGCGAATACATCCTATTTACCATTAGCAACAATTGCGGGAATTCTTAATTCATCAAAAATGCTTTGACTAGGAGCTGAGAGATCAAGATTGACAGCTGTAATGTGCCTTTTTCACATTTCTTGCACATGTACAATACTTTTGTCAATCCACTGCTGGATGCATCCCCACTGTGCAAGTTATGGGGATATTTGGATCGTGCGTTGTTTGTCAGTGCAGATTGATGGGGAGCATAGACGTGGCAGCATGACACATTGCAAAATTTATTTTGCGACGTGGCAGAATGACACATTGCAAAATTCATTTTGCTGCATTGCAATTTGTTGACTACTTAGCCCAGCAACAGCCTGCAACACCTGTGTTATGCATGGGGGTCACCTTTTTAAGCTCTTTACTGCTGATGTTCTGCGACCTGACTATATCGGGTTCATTCCAGGTGACTTCGTCAAAGGCTTCTGCAATTCTTAAGTAGCGCTTAATACCAGTTGTAAAGCCTTGCGGTGAGCTTGTATCCACTTAAATAATTTAAACCAGAAGGTGGTCCGTATGTACTATAAATATAGCATATGTATATGTACGTTGAACCTCTATCGCTAATCGGAGGTACGTGGAAGGACAATAAACTAAACACAAAAAGCAGTTCTAAAGAAATTAGTTTAATGATGTTATACGACTAGGTTTTGTGGTTGCACTGTATGGCTCTCCAATGGGTTTTCGGGTTGTACCACATGGTATGGTGTCCAACAATTTGTTCCACGTGCTGGGAGTTCCTTTAGGAACTAAATCAGTTCTGAACTGAATAATTTATTTAACAATCTGTTCCTGCAGAAGCTCGTAGCACGTGACGTTAAACGTTGGACATGGCAAACTACGCAACAATGTAATGAATCTGAGTGCTGTGAAACAACGTTTCAAACCTGCCGTCATTAAACGTCTAAACTATTGATGCTTGTTTTGTATCCTCAAGACGACTTGCCTGAGCTACAGGAGGCAAGAGAGAGCAGGACCGTGTCGGCAGCATTTCCCCTCGACTCGGGCGTCTCTCACTGTGAAATAGTCACCACGGCGTCAGAGATCGCGCACTGCTTCATTGCGCGCTCGTCGTCATCGTTGTCACAAGGGATGCACCCCTCCGTCACGATAACGGAGTGCTTTGTGAACAACGCGTCCGGGCCCTGTCTCGCGAAGGCCGTTCACGGCCCGGACTCGGTGGCACAGCCCTGCGGAAGTGGAGGCAGTGGCACAAACTGGCTGACGGAGCTGGCAAACATAGCCACCGGTCCCCAGAGCCCGCTTCTACAGAGCACGTCCATGTGCAGGTGCAGTGATGAAACATAGAGCAATTGTTCATTTGTAGCATGCTATATATTTAGATGATTAAACACCTTTCTTAAGTGCGTCGATTAATTGTCACCATTGTTCGATCCAAGAATAAATGGATCCGTTGGATTTTTATTCTCCATGTTTGTACAGTTTTGTTCGCTCTGTCTAAATGTGTACAGATAATTATAATTTAATTTGCGTAAATGGCATATAATTCTCATATGCATGATTCACTGCATTTACCATTAGCGTAAGTGTTAATTTTAATCTCTGAATTGCATCATTACATGCCTAATGTATTTAATTTTGCATACATGTAATGTCACGTTTTGTCTATGAAGCTGTAAAGTTTGATTTTAAATGTTGTGATGTGCATGCGTCTTGGCTTTCCCCAGGTCCCAGCCTGTCTCCCATGTGAGCAGTCAGAACTTGCACTCGTACGCACGGCCTCCACCTTTAACTCTTCACCATTTGTCTACTCCTGCCCGGCGGCACAGTGTCAAAATGGAGCAGGTACTCAATTGCTTACATTTTAGCATTATTATCTGAGTGCTCATGTAAAATATAATTTAAAAAATAACAATTTTTTAACACATAAACTTTTTGGGTTAGATCGCGTTATTTATAAATGTGTCGTAACCCTCCACCACCCGACACGGCCAATCAGTAAAAAAGTGTCACTCTTCAACACACCGGTGGGCTAAAGTAGTGAACTATTTGTCTTTTGTCAACGTGAAACTTTTTTACTGATTGGCCGTGTCGGGTGGTGGAGGGTTACGACACTTATAAATAACGCGATCTAACCCAAAAACGTTTATTATGAATAATATTAGTCGCGAAAGCCTACGTGTTAAACTGGTGTTTTAACACATTTCATTGCTATATATATAGCACGAGGTGCTTGTTATACCGAGTGTACTTTTTGCCATTCAGTCTGGAGAGGATCCAGAGCCTGGCTTGATCTCAATCTCTCCTCGCTCCTCGATATCGGATGATGATGAGCTGGGATGGTCTCACACATGGCCTACGACCGCTTGGCACTGTTTCCTTAAAGGTGAGTCACGGCCACAGCATGACATTGAAATTTGTGTTGCCACTAAACACCGCGTACATTTGGCCACTCCCATTTTGAGTCGTTGACATGCACAATTGTAAAAACCCATAATTTTGATGCTATATCTCGACAGCAAATTTTGTGGCAAAAGCAAGTGCAGCAAAATTGTAATCTACTGATAATTAGTTTTTGGAGCTTCAAACTGATGACCCATTTTGATGTTTTTTTTTACATGCGCTTCATTGAATCCTGCTTGCGCATCTGTCAGAAACGAAGGTAATATTCCACGTGGGGCCCAAGGCCGAGTGGCAGAGTGTGGAGGAGGTGGCCAGGCAGGAAGAGGCGGGGCGTCTCAATGGAAAACCGCACTGCCAGCGTGCAGGAAGAGCAAAGCTTGTACGACCACCCCTTCCCTACGCAACAGCATTCATTTTGAGCATTCCCTGTTACGTAATCCGCGTGCTGCTGTTTATACAGCGGAGACATTGTTTTTCCTCGACTGCTTTAATCTCGTTAATTGCATTCTCAATGGGTGTGTAATTGTATGATTGAGAGTGGTTTATATACGTATGCCATAAACTGTTTAAGACCGATGGAAAAAACAACAATGGACTTTTGAGTATTTTAGCAAAAAAAAATGGTGCTGATAATTGATGCAAGATATTACACTTTTCAGCTCATGTCGGTTCTTATATTTTTGCAGATTTTGAATTACGGGGTTGATGGTCTGACACTCATCAGTCGGGAGGAGTTTATTTCCAGTGGACAGTCCCTCATGAGGTTGTCCTTTGACCCTGGCAAGCACGATCAGCCCAAACTCACTGCAGATTGCTTCCTGGATCACCCGTTTTTTGTAAAGAAGAAAGGTGCGTGGCTTTTAGGGGTCATAATATTCCCTCTTAAAAACGCTGTGAAATTGTACGATCCTGTATGCCTTGGGTAATTTGATATTGGCGCAAACCAGACAATGATGTTATCTCACCTCGAGAGGTCCTCTGGTTTTTACGTAATTATATTTTGTATTAACTTAGGCGGGTTGCAGTTTGTGGTTTAAAAATGAAGTACGTTTGCAAGCTATTTTTTATTGCAATATTCAATATTAACAAGGAATAGCTTGGTAATGGCTTTCATGGATGAAAAATAAGAATAGGATTTACCCTTTCTGGCAATAAAACAGGTGTTAAGATTAACACGTAGGCTTTCGCGACCAATATTATTCATAATAAACGTTTTTGGGTTAGATCGCATTATTTATAAATATGTCGTGACCCTCCACCACTCGACACGGCCAATCAGCTGGTAATTACATCCAGCATCATGGGCAATTCGCCAGAATTCTGGCGAATTGCCCATGATGCTGGATGTAATTACCAGCGAAACGTCGTACTCAAAAACTGTAAATGTTGTGGATTCACTCTTCAACACACTGGTGGGCTAAGGTAGTCAACTATTTGTCTTTTGTCAACGTGACAGTTTCTTTACTGATTGGCCATGTCGGGTGGTGGAGGGTTATGACAGATTTATAAATAACGCGATCTAACCCAAAAACTTTATTATGAGGTGTGAAGATATTCAAGCACCGAATAGATACATTTTGCAAGTCATCAAGTCTGCCGCGTATTTGTGGTGAACATGTAAACAAACAAACAAACATGAAAGGGTTAAACCTATTCTTACTTTTCATACTTTGATACTGGCAAGAAGGTTCCCATGATTTGGCTTTAATGAAGTCCACCCGGTCTCGGCAGGATGGGCGTCCTTCCACCCAAGCCTGACGGTAATAAAGTACGGCATACCCTGCAGCGACATGGAAGTCAGAGACGTCTGCCTGCCTCCTGACCACCCTCTCGCTCAAAGTTCCGCGGATTCGGGCGTGTTTGATGCTTTTAAAAGGTTTGTAGAAATGTTAATGAGATTTTTTTTGTAGGATATCAGGTAAGTGATATTTTTAAAACTTTTTCCAACTAAGTTTGGAAATGTTGTTGCATAAGCAATGTCAGTCCGTAACGAGGTGAGGGAATGATATCTCTTGTAATATGAACAACAATTTTTTTAAGTTGCATTGCTATTGGGGACTTATCTGAGAGAACTGGCCAAATTTATCAAAGAAAACTCTAAAAGTATTATCCTTGCTGGCCAAGGCGATGTTGTGTGACACCTCGTTTGGTATTATATATATTGGGGCAAACGCATGTGGAAAAGTATTATATAATCTATGCCTATGCATGATGTTTAAATGCACATTGCAACGCATTAGCAAGTTGTGTATTCAAAAGTTAGAACATGAAATTGAACGTGCATGAAATGTTTTAACTTGCATGTCCTAATGTACTTTTTTTATATTACACTTGTTAACACGTGGTGGGCTGAAGTGTATTTTTTTTTTAAAATTCCAAGGAGACTAATAGGGTTCTTATTGCTATGCCTGGGAAATATCTGATTTCATGACGCAAAAAAAAATCCTTAGCCAATTGCTGCAAAACATGCCACAATTTACCACGGTTCATGCTTCGATCTCTCCAGAGTTTAGGCAAGATTGTCAATTAAATGCATTAAAAATGCATTATATTAATTTTTTACATTAGAGTATGGAAGCGCATGTGTTAGAAGCCAAAGCATGTCTGTGTACATTTGCGTACGTACCTCACATGCTAAGCTACACATGTGCATATTTTGTGCATACGTGTAGCTTTGTATGAGTGAATCTCTATTAAATGTTCCTCCCTCACCTCGGGTTGTTAATCGACTATCGGCGTTTCATGGAATTTAACGTGGATTTCAATAGCCACGGAAATTATAATCGAACAAAGTTCGATTTTAGTGACGATCGAACCATGGCACGGTAGAACGTTTAGATGGTATGACACTTTCGAAAGTGATTGGACACGTGACAATCCATTGAATGCAAAAAATATATAAAAATGTACAGCTCTTAGTCAGTGGGCTTGTTTGATTATAATTCATGCTGCTCATCGTGGGTTTAGGGTTGGTAAACTGGTGATTTTATTTTTTAAATATGCATCGATTATCGATAACGTGACAAAGAATGAAAAGAACAACCCTTCCCTTAATACAGTGGCTCGCCAGATTGCGTTAAGTTTTTCTTACCGTAACATAATTTACAGAGCTTCGTGACGAAGGCTCGCATTGCAGAGAATTAACCGTGATTGTCACGTACGAATGTCGCGATGAAGAAGATGAGGTGACGTCTTAACGCTCTGCGCCTAACCCGCGCCGCAGCTTCGACTTCACGCCCATGGACTCGTCGGCGGTGTACGTGCTGAGCAGCATGGCGCGCCAGCGCTGCGCATCACTCGGCGGCCACAGCTCGGGCTCCGGCGCCGCCGCCGGGGCCACAGCCCCCGCGACGCCGAACACGCCGATGCGGAACAAGCGGCCAATGAACGCCTTCATGCTGTTTGCCAAACGCTTCCGCGTCGAATACACCAAGATGTACCCGGGCAAGGACAACAGGTTTGTGCGGCTGCTATTAATGTGGTTTAATGGGGAAATGCGCAGTTTAACACCGGACTATTTTGTTTTTATCGAGCCGGTTCATTTTACAGCAAGTATCTCTCCTGGTAATATTGTGTCGGTGCCTATGATCAAATGACCAGGATGCTGAGCAGTGTTGAGCCTGAAGAGTGTTTCTGGAATGGTTATCACCGTGCCTAAAAACATTGCTATAGGATGCAGGTTTATGTTGTGGGCAGTAGAGGGCGGTACAGCAAAGTCTATTGAATCGTACAATGTTCCCACGTCTTTGCTCCCCGCCTCACCAACCGTTACTGGCCAGCATGAAGTGTTCTCAAATAACCTCCGTGGTCCGCACAGCATGGAGGCCCTCGTCTAATGGTGGCTGGGTAAAAGGGCTGTGCAGGAACACGTAGTCTGTCAGTGGCAAAGGAAATGGCGCAATATTCGTGGGTGTGCAGCCAAGTCTGTCTTACTCGGAGCTTTGGAAGGGGCAACGTGTGTTGTATCATTGTGTGTTCAAATTGCAATGAGAATAGTCGGTTCTATAACGCGGTAGTTGCGTTCCTGAAGAACACCGCATTAAGGAAAAATCGCGTTACAAATTAAATGTAATATACGGTAAGTACAGTCCGCGATAACAAGTGAGATGCATACGCAGGCTGAGCAAAGACTGAGGCGCGTGGGTAGCATTTAGAAGCATCCAGCATTATGCCTGCCATGCGTGATGCTACGCCATGGCAGCAGTACGACCGCTTATTCTCGTGTGACGTAGTTCCGCACGCTCGTTCGCATTATATCCAATTCGCATTCTGCGTTCTAAAAAATGCGTTCCCGAATGCATTCATCGCATTGTATCCAATTCGCGTTATGAAAACGCGCTTTGCAGGAAAAGTTGCCGTAAAGGAGTTGATACGGAATGCTGCGTGCGATTGGGTTGGTGGGTTCACAGGGCCGTCAGCGTGATGCTCGGGGAGCGGTGGAAGCGGATGAAACCGGAGGAGAAGCTCGTTTACGAGCTGGAGGCAAAGGCGCTCGCGGATGAGCAGAAGCACCTCAATCCGGACTGCTGGAAACGCAAGCGCACCAACTCGGTCTGTGTGGCACCCGTGAATGGGGAATGCATTAATGCTTTAGTTCTTTCCGTCTTGTCTGTAGTAGGGGGTCATAACATGTACGGATGATCCATTCTAAAATACCCAAAACTCGAGTGTAAAGTTGTCACAATTCAGGATCTACCCTCTAAAAAGACGCCAGGCGGCAATTCAATCTGGCACTTGAATGATAAACCTTGCCGATCGAGCCAATGATGTCACCTGTCACGTGCTTTCCCCCTTCCCTCATGACCTGAAGTGCATCATCTCGCGATATCGTGTGCAATGAGACGTTGTCTCGCATGGCTCTGACGGTAACATCATTAATTGAATGTTTAATTAAATAAGTGTTAGAAAAATCCCACGTAAAAATATATATTGCTTGTAAATTAATGTCTATTATAGCCATTGTGATTTGACTGTTTCGTTGTATTTGAAACCATAGTTTCAGAAGTGCCAGCTCATTTGTCTGACATTGGCACAGCATTGGTCATCCGTGCCACCTCTATGCTAAATTTCCACATTCTCTTGCTGGCCAAAAGACAATAAAGCTAATTCTGAAATGTGTACACCACTGGCTCCTTCATACCACTTGAAGCCAAATGTATGTTTATACAACAACAACGATGTTGCAACAAAATACTGTCAAATTTACACTTATAAAAGAAAACTCCCTGAAAATATGTTCTTCCAGTGACATAAATCTGACGGTGTCGTCGCCTTAGCGTCACCGTGAATGCTTATTGCAGGAGTGTATTGTACGTACTCGCAGCACTTGTTCGACAGCCTCAATGTCCCTTGATGTTAAGTGGAGGTTGTATTCTCCCGTGTATAGCAGCTGTTCCAACTGTGACCCGCCTGTATTTCTGCCCTGCACCAATATTGGCAGCCTCTTGTGCTTGGACCTGACCTTAACCATGTTTGGTCACGCAGCTCCACTTTCCGCTGTATTCCACATTTACCTTGAAGAAGGTTACGCAGCACCATGTGGTGGTAAATAATGGACGAGGCGGTGAGAATTCCGAGCAAGTTGTATTGTTTACCGTGCGTAAAAAAATGCACAGAACAATAGAATTTCCAGGTGCTTTTTTAACGTTACTTTTGAAAATGTTTTATGTTACAGACCAGCCATCAAGAAAGATGAAGAGGAAAAATAAAATTCCCCGATGATGACTGGAACACCACAGATATATATATAAATATTACACCTAATACTTTGCTTTTTAAAAAATGTGCAAGTATAAAAATCAAAGTTACAACTCGTTTTTCTTACACATAGTCCCTATTTTAAAGATATTTTTCTTTTTTAACGGTATGTGTTTGACCGGACGTGCTGCGTTTGCGCGAGAGGCACAGGCCACGAGCGTCCGGTTTTACGTAGACAGCAGGGTCTGTTCGTTTTGCCTATTCGAGTTTGTTGATTGACACTTTCAGGTATACTTCTGAGCCTCCAACGCAATTAGTAAACCAAAATAACTCTAATCAGTTAGAAAACTTACATAATAGTCCGCTGTAATGCTAGTACATTCTATAGTACAACAAACGTGTGCATGCAGCATAAACAAAGATGAGTTTGCCACGAGTGTTTTTATTTTATTTCCTTATAGGGGGCACGTCACTGGCCAATACAATTGCCCAAGCCATCGTGGCCGAGCGCTTTGGAGAGATTCGAACAGCCAGAGCAGACTGGAAGATGCTTGGAAATGGCCTGGGATAGGATCATTTAATTGTTGTTCTTTTGAATAGGTTTGGACTGCAAAACGAACAGATCTAGTTTGTGCCCAAGGCTCAAAACAGACTTAGACCTTAGCACACGTTGTTGGTAGAGCCGAAAGTGTATCATGTGTCCACCACTAGAATTCTACTTCAGGTAAATTTCATAGTAGAGTCTACTATAACGAATTGTAATCTAAAAATATATAAATATATATAATTTTAAATGTGCCTTAAAATGTTAAGCGGTGCCTATATATAACAATATTAGTGTGGTGCTATTGACTAATCTTCGCATTGTTGGATAAAGATTTACGGATGGCAGAACGGTATTGCTCAATGTTACCGTCTCTGATAGTGTAATAGGGCAGATTTATGAGAGTGCAAGTATTAGCATACAGTTCTATCCATGTGAACCCACGTTTTTAAAAAAAAATCTTCAGGAATACATCGAATAGCTGTTGTTATTTTTGTACATTTTTAAATGGGACAGCAAGGCTGTGTTCAGTGCGTGCTTGATTTCTGGCATTTAAGCAACACTGGTTTCGATTCCATCGCGTAACGATGGATGTTAAATGTCATGATCGCAGCCCCAAATCTAACAAAGGTTTACAGTTAGTACTTTAACCTGCCACAACATGCCTGCAGTAAAGCGTAGGGGGTCGTGAAAAAATGTTGGGTGAAAAGCCTTCAAATGATAACTCGTCTCGGCTTCCTTCATTAGGCCTTGTTCAATACTCGTATTCTGAAAAGGGTAGTAGTTAAGACTGCAGTCTACCGTGGGCATGTCTAAATGCCAAAGAGCTTTGCACTTTAAAAAAACATTAAACTATGATAGATTCAGAGCTTCACTTATGCAATATATATCTGTTCAGAATTGTGTGACTTCACTAATTTGTCAAACCACAATGGCTGTCCTTCCAGTTGCAGCCCGTCGTGAGAAACGTTGCACATTGTAGACAATTGTTTATTAGATGTTGCTTCGCATTTTATCTTTCTTGTTTATAGCATCTTTTAGTAAAACTGGCTTATGGTACAGGGATCGCACAAATGCAGGTTTCATTTTAGCATGTTTGACTGTTTCACATTAATTTGCCCAGCATAATTTTGCATGCATGTAATGGCCTTAGGTTTATTTTGACACTGGCGTTCAATTCAGAACCTTGATTTCCAGACATGATTGCAGTAGCAGTTAATTCAATCTGTAAGTGAAATCGGCTCACTTGTCTGGATGGTGTAAAATATGCACATCCTTGTATCAAAAATTGTAAGCGTTTTTTTCTGTTTAAACGAGTGCGACCCCTGTATTATGTGGGATATATTACTTTACAGAATTTCTAGCACTTTGAATAAACTTTTTTGCCAAAAAAAGACGTTTCTAAGTTGTTAATCTTTGCACCTGCCATTACTGGCAGAGGATTATAAAGGCTCATGGTGCCTGAGGCAGTGAGAACAAATATCTTAGAGCTATGAAAATATGTTTTGTAAAAGTTAGTTGGCTTCTTGATATGTATACACTGGAGATCCCGAAGTATATATTTAAAATTAGATGTCGATATCTTGGTTCTTTCGGTAAAGTCACGTAGAAGGGAAATAATAAAATAATAAAAAATAAACCAAAGAAAAATAAAACAAAATAATATATTATTTTATTATGTTTTATTTTTATTATTTCCCTTCTACGTGACTTTACCGAAAGAACCAAGAAGATGAATCCCTGCAGTCACGAAAGCTTTAAATCGAAATAGATGTCGATATTTTTCAAGGTTAGAATGACATTTGCAGGCTTATAAAGGGGAACAATATAGATTGGTGTATTAAAGCAAACTATTTTTGCGATGCATTTGGCTTAACTACCTATGCTGCTAAGAGCATGCCATGGCACAAAGGCACGTGATCAACAGGGATGCATTAAGGAAACTGGCCGAGGTTCAATCCCAGATGACCCTTTACCGATTTGCAACTGTACCAGTCACGTGACCAGCGTGTCCACTAGATGGTGCTATGACGCCAAGTGCATTCATCACAAGCACGCGTGCGAGATGATGCCGTCCAGCAATTGCAAAACCGAATGCACGCGATGGAGGGAGGCAAGATTCGAAATTGTTCGTCGGTAACGAGTTTCTTGTGGAACCATACGTACACAAAAACAATACAACAAGAGTTGCAAACATTAGTGACCAGTTCTAACCACAAGACTTGAGTGAGACGAGTCGGAGCACATTAAAATCCACCACTCTGCACCCACAAATTATCCACAATTTAACTGAAAAGAATTATAAATGGGAGCCAATTTGTGCACTTTCCCTTCGCGGTTTTTGGATAGCTCATTTAGCAGGGCACACGTAAATTAACTCGTTTCATAAAGATGCATCATGTTGCACCATTATCCACTGTAGGGACGCACTAAAGAGTGCTTGATCAGAAAAGGAGAAGACAATTGAGCATTGTAGCATACATTCAAACGATATAGCTTCAAGGAACATTTAAATAAGAGAATGCAATACATTGTGCCTACGTGATAAGCAAAATCCCTCGCCCATGTAACACTCATTTTTGTTACCCATGCTTCGTTTACCACACTCATTCGCACTCATTTTGCAAAACTGACCTGTAACTTAATAGCTGTCAAAATCAAGAGAGCATTGCCATGGAGAGGGAACTTTAGGGAAAACAGTGGTTGCTTTTAAAAAAAAAACCATAAAAGCAGCATAACGCGTGAATGCGTATGATCAATTCACCAGGAATGCACCAGATCTCGGAAGCTAAGCAGGTTCTCAGCCTGGACAGTGCTGCATAGCTACGTGGTGGCCTGCAGAGGGCCCTGCGGGGGGAAAACAAGCGAATAGATCGTCTCACTTGCTTGCTCCCAAGTCTGTGCTCCCATGGCCTTCACAGCCCGTGCCAAGAGGCCCTCTTCCAACGGTGGGTTGACAAAACAGCTCCACACGTACGAAGCGTTTATGTTCGCGTTATTCGGTCTGCGCGAGTTTTTTCGGAACGTGCATCTGGTGTGAGTGCAGAGGCACTGGGATGTTGGGTATTCAGTTGCTCGTTGAATTCAAATTGTAGTGTGTGTCTTCATTCAGGGGTCCATTATACTTTTCGTGCAGGTAGAACTTGGAGGTGTTTTTTTCTTAAGTCGAGTAAATTGAGTTCAGACTCCCCTTTGCACACAAAAAAAAGTTTCTACACTCCTGAAACATTCGCTGTTGAAAAAAAAATCAATGAAGTGAAATATTGTCTGAACCATTCAACATGCACATAGTGTGTACACGTGAATCAATGAGTTTGCCTGTAGGTACTGCCATACACTCAGACAAATACAGCCATTCGTGCAACGATTTGTCATCGTTCACATCTCGTTCAAGATAAAGGTGCAGCCCTGCGATTGCTTGCCCACGCCACTGCTGGTAGAAGGCCTTCACCTCCATGCTGCCCAAACGTCTTAGAAAGGTTGGGAGTAGCCATCTCTTCTTGGTTCTTTCGGTAAAGTCACGTAGAAGGGAAATAGTAAAATAATAAAAATAAAACATAACAAAATACAATTCTCACGACGTTTCGGCCACAACGCAAGCAGCCATCCTCAGGTGAAGAACAAGGCTGCCGGAAAGACAGCATCTCATTTAGACGCTGTCTCTCATTCAGACGCTGTCTTTCCGGCAGCCCTGTTTTTCACACGAGGACGGCTGCTTGCGTTGTGGCCGAAACGTCGTGAGAATTGTATTTTATTATGCTTTATTTTTATTATTTTATTATTTCCCTTCTACGTGACTTTACCGAAAGAACCAAGAAGATGAATCCCTGCAGTCACGAAAGCTTTAAATCGAAAAGTAGCCACCTCTTCTAAGTAGCCGGGGTTTACTCTCCAACACACAACCGTGTGCTGTACTAGTAACGAATTGGCATGTTTTGTTTACGTGACAAACCTTACTAGTTGGCTGTGTCGGGTGGTGGCGGGTTTAACGACAAGTTTACGCGCTCTAATAAAAAAAAAACTCTTATCTCCACACTTTACCCCAACACACCCATTGTCGTCAACCAAATTGCTACCGCTGGTCGAACAAAGCTGGGCGAGATGCCCCAATGTTACAAGTGGCGGTGCAGTAAAGCGAAAGAGACTCCGTTAACTATTTCTGATGAAATTATAATGCCGAGTAGGCGTGCCCATGCTCCAAATAAGGTTACTCTGGGAATGCACGTGGGCCTGTGTGAATGTCGAAAGCGAGCCTGCGACACTTCACGTGGCCTCAAAGTGCACCTGGCCTGGCACAGGCGCCGTGGTGACGTGGTGACGTCACAGTCACTTCGTGGCGAATGGCGGGTATCGGTATTGGGACGGAACAGGGAAATCGACGTCAATAATCGCGATTTAAATCCAGTGCTCGGTCCCGTGCTGCAAGTGTTAAAACCCCGCGTGTCTCACGCTCTTATCTCACGCACAACCACACACAATGCTGGACACCGTGCGGTAACCCATGCATGCATAATCCCTCCATATTTCATGGACTTACGCGACAGCGCCGGAGGATCAAATCGAACCCGGCGACCTCTGGCTCTGCAAGTCCAATGTGCTCACCCATTACACCACGGGTGCGAAGAAGCGCACGTGGAATTGCAACAAAAATAAAATATAAGTACCTGCAAAAATATTTATATACCCGTTGCTTTAGCATGCAGCTAAATGAATGCGTGCGCAAAGGCAGGCTGTGTCAGTCACGTGCAAAACATGTGGACCTCTCGGTCACCGTCTGTGCGTTCCGGGCAGAGTGGGAAGCATACGGTGGGATGCGTTCCCACCGGTGGGAATCAATCCGTAGCGGGGACCATCCCGGCAGACTCACACAAGAAGCGTGACAGTCGGGCATCAGACAGCGCCAGAGATACACAGAGAGAGAGAAAGACAGAGAGAGAGAGAGGAGGCAGCATAAAGGCCGTGCAATTACGGCGGTCGCTGTTTATGACCTCTCATTAAAATTGAACTACGCATTTACGAGACGGTGTTCCCGGTGAAATAATTTCTATCAATAAATAAAATGAAATGATGAGAAACATGTCAGAACTCCCCGTGTGTGCGCGAGGAGCTGCATGACAATCCGGCGAATTGAATGAACACGAACTCTCGAGTGCGGCGGGGTGCCGACACCGCACACAATATTGCGGCACCGCGTGCTTCGGCCGTTGCGAAACCTCCAGGTCACAACACCGAATGCTTATTTGGTAGTAGTAGTAGTAATAAATGCCTGGGGATGACATCGTGCCCTGACGGGAGCCCTTATCGGTAAACAAAATTAAATATGATGCATTCTTCTTCTTCTTCTCAAATAGATTATGACGATCGCTTGCGCTGTGATCGAAACGTCGTCGTTTTTTGTTGTTGTTTTTTTGTTATTTTCTTTGAACCTATTGACGTGACTTTACCGAAAGACCCAAGGCACATTAATTCCTGCAGTCACGAAAGCTTTAAGTTAACATTCAATTAATGTTTATTTACCTTATGCTGTTACAATCAAGTGGTATAAATGGGTCGCGCCATAATTTGTCGATGGGCTAAAGTGTGGGCACTTCTAAGACGTCTGGCCAGCATGGAAGAGTAGGCCAAACACTCTCTAGTGACGGCTCACTAGAGCTTCCATGAGTGGAGGTCCTTCCTCAAGCACTGGCATGAAAGAGCAATTGCAGGGCCGCACCTTTACCTTACTGTTAAAGCAGATTGTTGCATAATGCATAAATAAAATCGTGGGCGGAGTGCTTAAAAAGCTCTTCAAAATTGTAAAATTATTCACTCAATCGATTGTGCCATCTCTTAAGTTGGTGGTCATCGATCCGCATCCTTTCCTTTGCTCTCCTCTTCTGAATAAACATTCTTCTGTCTTGAGGCCAATGTTCCATCCATCTTTGCCGTGAGTGACTCTTTCTGCAGACTTGTCTGCCAAACTCCGTGACCTAATATCGATCCAGGTGACTTTTCAACAATCTTCTCAACGCCCACATTTCAATTTAAAAAAATCCGCTTACACAGCTTATTGTCTATGTTATGCTCTCTTATCGGAAAACATAATGCAGCACACTGATTTTATAATAATTATGGAAACATTTTTAAGCCATTGGTTAATTTATTAACAAGATCATCAGCATTCACCTCTTTCGATTTAAAGCTTTCGCGACTGCAGGGATTCATCTTCTTGGTTCTTTCGGTAAAGTCACACTTTTACTTTACCGAAAGAATCAAGAAGAGCATTCACCTCGTCGTATGGTGGCTGTTGCACAACCACTGGCGAAGAGAGAGCCACGGCATTTTTGGTCACAAACACGGTATTTTTGGTCACAAACACGGTATTTTTGGTCACAAACACGGTATTTTTGGTCACAAACA